GTTCTCCGTTCTTTAAAGTAAAATGAACGGACTTTAGTAACCTTTGAGTCAAAGTCAACCCGTGTGAAACTCCATACGCGGTCGAATATTCCCCTTGCGACATTTTGTCCACAGATCGTTGAAGCTGAACCATCACAATCGGCAGCATTTAACAATCGTTTTTATATATACCTCGGGGTTGAGTATCAACCTCCAAAACAATCAAAAGAAATCATGGGTTCCTCAAAAGTAGACACACTAGCTCATCTTCTAGCCTCCTTTGCCCTTTTCGCGGTCCTTTTAGTCATCATCATTCCACAAGGTGCAATTCCTGCTTTTGCCTCCACACTAGAAGCACAAGCCCTTCTCAAATGGAAATCCAGCCTTCAAAACCAAAACCAATCCACCTCTTCTCTATCTTCATGGACTCTCCCTCCTCGAAATGCTACCGGCTCCAACGCAACGGCGGCAAGCCCATGCAGTTGGCACGGCATCTCATGTAACCCAGCCAGAAGCGTGATGGGAATCAATCTCACCGGTTCGAACATCAAAGGTACGCTCGACGAGTTCCCGTTCTCGTCTTTGCCGTATCTTACCTATATAGACATGTACATAAATGAACTCTTTGGCGGTATTCCGCCTCAAGTCGGTCTTTTGACCAATCTCACCTACCTTGACCTCTCCTTTAATCAACTATCCGGGAAAATACCGCTGGAGATTGGCAATCTCTCGAAGCTTGAGGTGCTACACCTGCTCTCTAACGAGTTGAATGGCTCTATCCCTGATGAAATAGGTCACTTGCGTTTCCTGAATGAGCTCGCCTTGTACTCAAACCAGTTGGATGGACCCCTTCCTTCTTCCTTGGGTAACTTGAGCAGCCTCGCTAGACTATACATCTATAACAACTCATTTTCTGGTTCTATTCCTCGTGAAATGGGGAATTTGACAAACTTGGAGGAGATTTACATGGATACCAACTCCCTAACAGGGCCAATTCCTCCCACTTTTGGGAAACTGACGAAATTAACCCAATTGTACGTATTTGACAATGAACTTACTGGTTCTATCCCACTTGAGCTAGGGAACTTGAAATATCTTCGTGGACTCAGCCTAAACTACAATAATCTGACCGGTTCAATCCCCTCGACATTGGGCAATTTGACAGGGCTTACCCTTCTTTATCTGTATGGCAACGAGCTTTCTGGTAACATTCCTGATGAGTTAGGAAACCTCCGAGCTATGATTGATTTGGAGCTGAGTATAAATCAGCTTGGCGGTCCTGTTCCTTCTTCTCTGGGTAATTTGACTGACCTGGAATATTTATATCTCCGTGAGAACCAACTTTCTGGTTCCATTCCTGGATTCCTAGGGGATTTGATGAACTTGGTGGTGCTACAATTAGATACAAATCAGTTCACCGGCTTCATACCAGATAACTTGTGCCGGGGTGGTTCGCTTTCTAACCTCACCATGGCTGGCAACAACCTCACAGGTTTCATTCCCAGAAGCTTGAGAAATTGCACGAGCTTACTCAGGGTACGCCTCCAGGAGAACCAACTCACTGGAAACATATCTGACAGTTTCGGCGTCCACCAGAACTTGGACTTTATGGATTTGAGTTTCAACAATTTCTACGGGGAAATCTCGGCTAACTGGGGAAGTTGTCAGCGTTTGAGGGATCTACGAATTGCTGGGAACAAAATCACCGGTAGCTTGCCTCCTGAGATTGGAAATGCGACTGAACTACAGGGACTTGATTTTTCTTCCAATGGTTTAGTTGGCGAGATTCCAAAGGAACTCGGAAAATTGACCTCTTTGGTGAGGTTGAACTTGAGCAGGAATCAACTTTCTGGCAGTATAAGTCCCGCAATCGTATCACTATCTGGTCTTCAAAGACTGGATTTGTCCAGGAATAGATTAAGCATGTCTATCCCAGAGAGTATCGGGCAGTTGGCAGACTTATTCCTCTTGGATTTGAGCAACAACCGGTTAAGCCAAGAAATTCCTGGCCAGATAGGGATGCTGACTCATTTATCCGAGCTAGACTTGAACAATAACTCATTGATCGGTGAGATTCCAGCACAATTCAGCAGTCTGCAAAGTCTAGTGAAACTTGACCTCTCACACAACAATCTTTCGGGCCCTATATACACGATTTTCGAGGATATGCCAGGTTTGGCAGTGGTTGACATATCCTACAATGAGTTCCAGGGTCCGGTTCCAAACACCACGGCGTTCCAAGAGGCTCCAACAGAAGCATTACAAGGTAACCCCGGATTATGTGGTAATGTTGATGGACTTCAGCCTTGTAGTCAATCGGGGACGCAGAAGAAAAACGCCAACAGTCATGAGAAAGTGTTTCTCATTGTTTTCCTCGCCCTCGGAGCATTTCTCCTGTTTTCTTTCATCGGAGTGTACTACATTTTGCATGGAAGAAAGAAACACCGCCAAGTGGAGCAAGCACACAAGGGAGAGAAATTGTTTTCTATATCTACTTACAATGGAAGGATATTGCACGAAGAAATCATTGAAGCAACTGAGGATTTTAGCGAGAGATACTGCATTGGATATGGAGGATATGGAAGAGTCTTCAGAGCAAAGCTAAGATCAGGGGCTGTAGTGGCTGTGAAGAAGCTTCATCAGATGTCTGATAGTGGGCAAACGAATCAGAAGGAGTTTCAGAATGAGATAAGGGCATTGACAGAAATACGACACCGCAACATCGTGAGACTCCATGGCTTCTGTTCACATCCCCAACACTCGTTCTTGGTGTATGAGTATGTGGAAAGAGGAAACCTGTCTGCAATCCTGAGCGATGAGGGAGAAGCAAAAGAATTGGGTTGGGGTAGGAGGGCAAATATTGTGAGAGGCATAGCTCATGCTCTGTCCTACATGCACCATGACTGTGTGCCTCCCATTGTTCACCGAGACATATCAAGCAACAACATCTTACTTGATTCTGAGTATGAGGCCCGTGTATCCGACTTCGGCACAGCCAAGCTTCTCAAGCTAGACACGTCGAATTGGAGCGCTGTCGCTGGGACATACGGATACATCGCACCAGGTATTTCGATGGATATCTACTGTTCTTCTATGGTGAGCTTAGAAAGTGATAATCCGCTAGTACTAATGCATTTTCTTCTTATGCATAGAGCTTGCTTACACGATGACGGTGACTGAGAAATGCGATGTGTACAGCTTCGGGGTCGTGGCAATAGAGGTGATCCATGGAAAACATCCAGGCGAAACCATCTCATCCCTATCAGATGCATCGGATAAGGAGATTGCCAGAGTCCTGGAAAATATGCTGGATTCACGCCTACCAGCTCCAATGCCTAGCATTGAGGATGAACTTCTAGTCATCTTCAAGCTCGCAATTGCTTGTTTATCCACCAATCCACGACTCAGGCCATCCATGAACATGGTTTCTCAGGTGCTATCGGCTCCTTCGGCCGCTCACTAATGTGGTCATTCCGGAGGTGGAGACAACCCAGTAATATGTAAATGCAAGAGGAACTATAGCTGCTGGCAATTGAATTGATCATCTCTAATGGTGCCTTTTATCTTCGTAGATGACTGTAGTATATGATGAAGTACCAGCGAGAAGCTACAAAAGGACACGATTATTACATTACACGTCTTTGACTCATTACAATATCTGCTTGCAGTAGTAAATGTTGTAAAGGCCTATTACAGATAAAACCATAATAGCTGTTATATATAATAGCTATCGCGTTTGTGTCTATGATTGCTTACATGTAATAGAGTATTCTGAAAAATCCTCTCTTATCTTTTCCTCCCTTTAACTCTACCAATTGTTGGAATAGTATTACTATTAATCATGATTACAATTTGCTTATGTAATGATTATTTTATATTAATTAAACAATAATGGACATTGTAGTTTTATTGATTAGTAATAATTAATACAATTATACTGTATGAACGTTGATTCAACTGTGCACAGAGGATCAGTCAAGGAAGGAAAAGAAGGGTAAGATGAAGGGAAAATGGGAAATACGAGGGCAAAGATAAAGAAAATAAAAGAAAAAAGGAGACCAAAAAGAAAATAGTAAGAGTACATTTCAGAAGTTGGATGTGATACTGAGGGCATAAACTGAAGATATTAATTCGTCGGAAAGGATGTCTAAAACCTCCAGTGTTTCTGATTTTTCTCATATTGCTCGGCCCTTACTCCATTCTCAGAAATTCAGCATGCCCTTGTCATGATTTAAACCAGGCATAACAGTTCGATCTTTTCGGAGAAATCTCTATGAACACAAAGTTATGACAGTACTCCGTATATGTAGAACTCCTATGCTAACGTCCGAGGAGATATATGTAGAACTCCTATGCTAACGTCCGAGGAGATCGCCGACGCTGCTCACCCCTCCCCATAGAAAAGTTATGACATGACATGATCCAAGTAAATTTTGACCAAAACCATTCCTAAAGGTACTTGAGTAAGGCTTTGTTTGCTGTAGCTGTCATGTTTTGGCAGAATGCATCGAGCAAGCATTGATAACATCTCGTTGAATTAAGACCTTAGGTGGTCGGCCTAGCAGTCTCGCAGTGGAGGACGGCCGCTAAAATTGGAGAAGTACCTCAGGCCTCAGGGCCACAGCAAAGAAAAAATATCCTATTCCTAGCAAACCGTATCCTTTACGGCTTAAAATCGGTCCTATCCCTTTGGCAGGGACGACAAGAACTTGGTACAAATGAAAAGGAGCATAAACATGCGTCCTCCAATGACAGAGAACATTGACAATGAAATTTAATGTGTTCATATGATTGATTTTCTCGACGTGGATTTTGACGAGAGAATTTTCCACATCCTAAACGAGACTTCAAAAAACTGCCACAAATCATTTGGCAGCACAGCATGAATACAGAATGCAATCGACGGTCACTGCATCGGTTTCACTGTATCCCTATGATATGTATTGAAATCAAGATTAACACTATACACGGAGTAAGAAGATGGAACGGAAAAACACAACCATTCAATGCAGCAGATGAACTTGCAGAAGATTAGGACAATCGCTAAACCAGACACAAGTATGAATACATAGTGCCAATTAGCACATTGGTCACATCTCTAGCCAATCATGTTAAATACTGGAACGAGGTTTGCCTTATCCCTTGATGAACTTAATGAAAGGAGAGTAATACCAGAACATGTTCACAGTGAGAACCAAACGAAAATCCAGACACAAGACTATTACGTGAAATAGTTGGTCCGAGTCATATCTTATCAAACCAATGTGATGCTGCTCTCACCGCCAGGTGGCTTGCGCACGCCGCCCAGGTAGTCCCGAGATTCTACCTTACCATCAGCAAAAATGTCATTGCCACTTATCTCGCGCAGTTTCGCCCCACTTAGTGGTTTCTCCGCAGATGATGGAGGCACGTCACCCTTGAAGATGTCATTTCCTGAAAGTTCAGTATATTTCTTGTCATAGATCTTCTTCGCCGTCTTCAGCACAGGTTCCTCAGTGGACATTAAATTGCTCTGTCCTCTAGCGGGCTGATCCATATGAAAGTTTGAGAGTCAGGTCATTCTAGATCCAAGACCTCAGAACAATGATTTAGAGAAAGAATCAATACATCACTATGCTTCCAAGAAGCACCATGGATAATCATTGGTTAATTCCATTTAAGTTTCTCATATATCGCTTTGCTAGCCCTACTCGATGAGAAAATACTTCAACAAGTATCAAATGTCATGTGGTCGACTTATATCTGACTGCGACAACCAATAATAGCATGTCTTCATTGAATATAGTACTACCCAGGCTCAAAGCCACAAAGGAAGAGGGGAGGTGGTTACTTTCAACTGACGTGCTGTATCAGTTGCCACATAACTATTTTAACGTTCTTAAGACAAGGAAGAGTAGGGACAGACACAACAAAGTCACTTACATTAGAAACTTTGACAGATGTGCGTAAATTACGTGGTGCAGGTTCTTCCATGTCTTGATGCATTGCGGGTGAGCGTGAAGGCACCGTCCTGGGCAAGATTTCAGGAGGAGGTGCAAATATGTCATGCCCACTAAGCTCTCTGGTCTTAGCATGAGAGATCTGCTTTTTCAACATCCCGTCCGACTCACTTTCCAGCGTCCCACTCAATTCGCGTTGTTTCGCAACCTCAGGCAGAGTAGTAGGTTTTCTCGGAGAAACGCTCTCTTCCTCCCCAAAGGAGATGTGACTGATTCCAGCAACGGCTTGCTAGTTTTGTTTTAAGGAGGAAGTCCAAGTAAATTAGGAATCACCATGGAGATTTAAGATTACGGATACAGAACTTTGAATATTCAAAAGGATAATTAGGACCCGGTACATTTGTCTCAGCCAAAAAAAGGGAAAAGAAGAAACAGAAGTACCTGGTACATTCGGATTCCTGTTCTGCTGTTTGGAGTAGTATTGCCAGACTCTGACGGATCATTTTCTTCACTACCCGAAAAGATGCCACTTCCAGTTATCTCCTTCATTTTGTAACCCGAACACGGTTTCCTAGAAGTTGCAAAAAAGCGGCCTCAATGTATAGAAAAAAGGAAGGAAAGAAAGAAGAAAGAATGAATGAATGCGAATATATACATATAGATATGCCCAAACATTCTCATAGAACTTATTGGGGAAATATAATATTTTGCATTTTTTGCATAGTCATAAATTGCCGGTGGCCACTATATATTAAGAATTCATTGCCTAACGCTGAACTTGTAGATCGAGTTCATTCTTTAAACCGGACAGGTGCACATTATAATCTATTCAAAATTCACGATAAGAGAAATGAAGATTTTAGAATGAGTATAAAGCATGTTTAGCCAAATTTAATTTATCTCAAATGGCATTGGATACTTGCGGCATCCAACACCAAAAAGACAATGATTAGATATGAGCATGGGGTAGCAATCCTGTATATCGACTGTATTTCCTCTGAGCCCGAGGTAACTCAGAGCTGAGTCCTACCATACCCATGAAAACTAATTGATCTGGCAAACTAGAGTTTGTTCATCTTCTCGGAGGAAAGGCTTTTGCCTAATTCCAAAACTTCTTTTATGAACTTCATGAAGTAATTTGTATTAAAAAAACATTCGAACCATTCAGTTGGAATTAAGCTAGACTAGAAATTACCACCATAATTTTTTATATGACAAGAAAGCCACCTTAGGTAATTATATCCTCAACCCAGCTAAAACCTCCTAACCTCATGGATCCAAAAAGATGCTAACCTCAGGGGGTTGTAGATGTCAGTCGCCCCTTCCAACCTTTTTTTTCTAATACAAAAAATTATAATAAGACGCCAACCGAAGCCCGGTTGGGTGGCCTAAAAGACGTGAAATTTCTTCCACTTGCTAGTGTGGAGAATCAAACTTCATGTCACATTCCGAATTTATAAATATGTGCTACTATGGACGACTAAAGTTGTTCGGCCTTTACTGGAAGAAAGTAAAATTTACTTAAGTATTAGAATCACATGATGCTGAACTATAATTGGTACTCGCACTTATCGTAAGGATTAATGTGCGTGTGTTTGCAAATAGTTAGATAAGTTTGTAAGGACTAATGTGAGATTGGCACAATCTGAAGTAAAAGTCAGAGAGAGAGAGAGAGAGAGTAGTAAAATGGCAAGGAGAACAATATTGGTTATATGACAACTATCATTTGATTATTCTTTACCTATCTTAGAGTTTCCAACTTTGTGTATTTGTCCTCTCGTACCTTCTCCTCTCCTTCCTCTACATACTCATTCAAATATAGTTCTTATAGCATTCAAAGTAGATATACTTGTCAATCATCACTCGGATCTCAATTCTTGGTTGATTAAATGCCGTACCTCATCAACCCAAAATTACTCACAAGATAATTTCGTTTGGTTTGTTCTTAGAAGAAAAAAAGGGGACATCCTATAAGGAAATGAGAAATCCAAATCCAAAGATAGAAATCTAAATTCCAATCCATCTTGCATCACAAAGATCCGCACGTTTAAGTTATTATATTCTAGTTCACTCAGAAAGAAGTAAGCTTCTCGCTTGTGTCAAAATTCTGGTGCAATTATGTACCCACAAGAAGCAAGCCAACGAGATCAACCGCATCTAACTGAACTCATAGAACCCAGAATTCAACATCCGAAACCGCAATAAAACATCAAAAAAAAAATTCGAAAGGAAAAGAATTTAAACAAAATAGAACAATAAAAGCTTGCAAAAGGAGAGAAGATGAATGCGAAAATGGTGGCAAACGCAGAGGAATGCAATCCGTACGCAATTTATTCAGAAAAAAAAAAAGAAACAAATTGCACAAGTGCTTTCCACTACATGAGAGTGGCGATTGGAACGAAGCCGAGCTCACCAAATTTTGGAGCGAAATGGAATCGGATCTCACCTCTTGTTCAAGCTCTCAACTTCTTCATCAGTCACCTGACCTCCGAACACCACCTTGCTGATCCCATCCGACGGCTACCATTCGCCCCCCACCCACAACCCAAGCAACAAAAAGACCCAGAAATCCCGTCACATTCTCACACAAATCCAAACCCAAAAGGGGAGAAAAATTTGCACGCTAACCCAAAAATGGCCCGAAACCCAAAAGGGGAGCAAAGACGGAGGAGGGGCTACCTGATGGGGACGCGCGCCGGGGCGAGATTGGCCGGACCCGGGTCGGGCCGAGTCCGCCGGCGCCGGCGGGGGGGCCTCGGACCACGTCAGCAGATCCGCCGTCGAAGTGTGGGGCTTCCTCACCGGAGTGCTCCTCTCCATCAGAAACCTCTGTCCCTTTCGGTCCCCCTCCCTCCCCCTCACTCACTCTCCCACTCCCCTGTATGCCCACAGCGGTGCTCGCAATTCCCGTCTTCGCTTTGCCTTATACTTTCCCCCCCTTTCACCGGCAGACCCCCGCCAAGAACATCAACGGGAAGAATTCGGTGCTCGAAAGCAGAAGCAGCTCGCGCACGACCAGAGACGGTGCAAATGAACAGCAAGAACGAACGAAGAAGAAGAAGAAGAAGAAGGGCCGGGAGGGTAGAGAGAGAGAGAGATATTTCTCTCTTCAAACGCAAGTCTCGAAAGGGTCACTCTGTTCCTGTTGCGTGCGAGGACGACGGAGGACAAAACAACAAAGAGCACAAAAAAAAAATTTCGAATTTCTGTTTTCTCCCTTGTTTTCTCGTGTAGTCCGATAAATGCCGTTTTTATAAATACGGTGTCGAAATGACGAGAATGTCCTCGCGGTCTGGAAGCTTCCCGCTGGGTGCGGGGGGGGCCAACGATCCGCGGCGATCTCGAGCCGAACGTCGAGGGCAATTTGGGGAGGGACGTGCTCGGCTGTTTATTTTTTTATTTTATTTTTCCAAATTTCTAGCCAAGAAAAAGAAAGGAAAAGAAAAGGAGGAGAACGATTTTTGAAATTTTGAATGCGGATTTGGATGATGCGGGCCTTCATCTGCGACCGATCCGATGATCCTTTTCATACGTGGAGCGCGGGCGACCGCCAGATGCCGGTGGCCGGAACGGTTTAACCGGCCGTTCGGGGGACTAATCGATGTCATCATCGCGTCCCAATGATGCATGGTGGGACGAGGTTTTGTCTCTGGATAAGTCCGTATTTTTTGGGGAGGGGGTGCTTGAACCGGCTGCTGCCGGTCAATCCCCGTGCGTCCATTTGCCTCGTTCATTTGCGCACGATGCTAGGAAATTTAGTAGGTCGTGCGATGAAAAGAAGGAATAAATTACGCAGCATTGCTCCCTCTTTCGATGTTGCGATGTTCCTATCCTGCCAGGACTCTCTACTCTTAAAAAAAAAAAAAGTGGGATTTTGATCCCTTGTCGGAGTTTCTGTGGTGCGGGTTACGACCGACGCGGTATCGGTATTAATCAGCACGGTCGTTAGGTGCTTTGGAGCTCGATGTCTATTAATAGGTTATATAGTCGAGAAAGAAAGTAAAAGTGCAAAGGAAAATGGCATTTAAAAAAAAATTTCTCCGGTTGAGTTTCGACCATGTCATTGAACGATGTGCGTGGCCTTGTTTTTGTTTCTTTTCTACTTTTATGACACTTAAAATGTGATCTTTTTTTTAAGATGACGCTTTTTCCGCTTCCGCTATGATTAAAACATTCTATATCATAATGTTTTGACAATTTTATCATTTGTGGGTCTTACTTTTTTTTAAGGCATTTTCTTACTTTTCTTCTTTCTTTCTTTTTTTTGTGCCACTTTCCTTCTTCTCATTTATTTCTTTCTCTATTCTCTCTCATTCTAAAACACTACTCTCATGCCAATAATAGATAGTTTTTTATGCAATGAGCTATGCAAGCGGAATTGAAAATTTGAAATCGCAGTTTGAGTTTAATTGTTATTGAGAAAAAGTGAGGGTCGATCATTAAGATTTTCTTTGCATCTTATACCTCTGTTTTCTGCACTTGGTTTCTTTATTCGTTAAACTTGAAGTTTGAACATGGTGTGATGAGATCTTTAGTTTTAGCGAATTTGCAATAAAATTCTCTACTGCATTTTAACTCGCTACGTAAGTGGATTGCTTCTTGTTTTTTGTTAATAAACACTAACTATTTGCTATTGCAATTTGCCTTGTTGGGTGCACGACTTGTGTCAATCTCAGTTACCGAGCCGCCATCGCCATCAATTGAGAAGGCTAAAAGGGTGTTCCTATTATGTTTGTAGGTATCAAACTTTGGTAAAAGATTCAGAAACTGATGAGTGTGATGTGGTCTGGACAACAAGTGACAGAAGCAGACCACAGAAGAGAGTATTGTTTTTTTACAAATAGTACCAAGGCTTGAACCATGATCAGAATTAAGAGGGAATGTAAAGAAGTAAAGGAGGAGGAGGAAAATGGAACTAACGACAAAATAAAGAAGAAAACAAACGGAATACCATAAGCAAAAAAAAGGATACTTAAAAAAAAGCAAGACCCATAAATGTTAATATCGTCAAAATGATAGGGAGTGTTTTAGCTATAGTAGGAGTGAAAAAAGCACGACCCTTTTTTTAATTTGATGTCAAACTCCTAAAACTTTTCAAATGATTCAAACACTGACATTCACATTCACATTCATTGTCATTTATAATTTTTCATAGTTTTCTTTGCACATTCTGTTTATATTAATATAATAATAGAATCTATTATGATGTGGGTAACCAAATTAATTTTACTAAATACATATCAATTATCATATAGCTAGATAATTTTTGAAATGTTTTCTCCTTACTCCGTAATTATTGTTTATAGTCATTAAATAATATATTAAGTACTTTTGTAAACGTTGAGATCTCAATGATATTCCTCTTTCATCTTCTTGGCAAAACTCTTAAAGTTTTATTTGAAAAGAAAAAAATTCATTATCGTCTTCGTGATTAGGATCAATACCCTGAACGAAGTAAGAGCAACTGATGGCATAAGCCCAACTCTCCTTGCAACAATGAATCGATTGGTCAAGAAAGAAGTAATAGAGAGGAGCTCATTGCATTTTTCACCCAATGGTTGTTCGAGTTTTTCCTCCAAAACAGAGATCTTGAAGCGGTGGAAGTTTGCTCATAAAAGAGCGCTATTTAGCCTTGTCTAGTGAAAAAGAGAATTTTAAACCCGAAGCGAGGTATCATTTTCTTCTTGGAAGGTAAGCTCTATTAGGGCAATCTTAATTTGCTTCGTTGTCGTGATTGGGAGAACTCACTGTATTCATATATTCTTTCTTGGACATCAGTTTATGACGTACTCCCTTTCAAAATACCATTTCTCATCGACCTCTAGGCTTTCATCGAGTAAGAAAAGCAAAACACAAAAAAAAAAAAAAGGTCTGGATTTGTTCTATCGAAATAGGACTCTTCCCTCATTTTGAATGTCTTCCGTTTTCTTGAAGTATCGAGTTTGATGAAGAAAGCTTTTTCATCAAATTTAATGCATTTAATGTCCAAAAGTCTATTTTACTATTTTATGTAGATATATAAATATTACTCGGGGAATGGTGGCGGATCCTCGGTTACAAAAAAAAAAAAATATTACCCTCAACCTTGAAAAGCATTTCATTCTCAAAAAAAAAAAAAGAATTGAACATACTTTTACTCTCACACACATGAAAATATTTGCCACCTCTTTAAGGTTGGCATCCGGACCTCTTAAGGCATATGACCATTACTATATCTCTCAATTTGACGGCAAGTCAGTAAAACCAATGCAAGAAAACTCAAGAGTGATTCCGCGAGCTGTGTAATCACGATCGTGTTGCAGTTCTAAGAATCTAAATCAACTCGGCGATCCGTCTCGTCGTCGACCGTTAGAACAGGCGAGAGAAGTAGTTTAGCCGGTTGTATCCATAGATGCCTCATTTGTTCATCGGTGTGGTTGATGGTGCCATATTGGGTAAGTGGAGGAGATTTCCATAGATTGATGCAAAGTAATGGGAGGGCAAAGCTAACAAAGGTGATCACTAGTCAAAAAGGATTCTCACTCATGACCCTTTCCAGGCATAGAATTCCTTCTCTCTCTCTTAGGCACCCATGTGACTTGCTGGGAAAATTCAGAACCATCATGCCAACCTCTCCCTAACATTCAAACTTTCCACCTGAGAAAGCAATCCTACCATCAAGTGAGGGCATGTGCAGAAAAAGCTTCACACCCCAGCATGGGACTCAGTTCACAGCTCTAAAGAGGAGCACACCCTTCCTCCTTTTTTCTTTTACCCTTATGCTCATTTGGAGCCATTAAAGTATGAGAGTGAAATCCCGAAGAGTTGCGTAAGCAATCGATACTCGTCTTCTCTCCGCTCGATGCTCGGGTATGATTCATCGTCTTTTCGCATTCTCTTGAAGTCTTGCTTGAGAAGCCGCGGGATGAGGAACATCGAAAACGAGGGTCGGGAACGAAGGATAATTCACAACTTTCTCCCCCTTACTGAACTTTCTCCCCTCCCAAGCAAAGTATGAAGATCACCTTGAGGAGTATTGATTTGTATGTCTTCGGTAATTAGCTAGTGCGGTAGGAGTAGAGATTGCTATACTCGGTGGAAATTATTCGAATGGCCAAAAGGTTCCAAACGTTTAATTATTAATTGCGAAAAAATATGCTTACTAATATGGATGGGCGTGACTTTTAAAAATGATACACCATCTCAATAAATGCTCTGTGCTTTGCATGTCTTGATATATATATATAGACCGTTTTCAGATTCATCAGAAGAATTGATATCAGTCTCAGCCATAATTTGACTAAGTTGATTGAGAGTTTTTTCATCTAAATCTAATTCATTTAATTTTTTTGCTGATTTTGCAATATCTAGAAGTGTGTCCTTTCTTTCCGCAATTATAGCATGTAATAAAGTTTTATTAGAATTTTTTGGCTTTTCAAATTCTTTCTTGTTGTTCTTTTTCTCATAAGATTTCCTTTAGTGTGTGTGTCTATATATATATATAAAGTAGTCATATAATTTCTTATTCAATTTTTTCTACAATAGGGATTGAAATTTTACCTTTAGGAGATTTTGAACACCCTAAAGGCTAAAACCCTACACGATGCACAAATGTTGATATTTAAGTCATTCATAATTTTTGTAATTGTTTGAAGCATATAATATTTTTCATTTTCTATTGTTTTTTAGGTAAACAAATAAGTAGAGGCGGGGCTACCATGGAAAACTTCCTGAAATTTCGTGTTGATGAGCGGGAATATTAATCATAATTCCGTCGCCCTTAAAAGTACGTACTTTTTTTGGTCCAAATATACACATAGACAATCTCTGAGGTCCCCTTGAAAAAGCTCTAAATCGATCACCGTCACAAGTTCGTACCGTAAAACGCATTGAACTTTTAAAATATATTATCCTTTTCAAGTTGTATTAAAAAATCATTTCGAAACATATTTAATACTTTCGATCAATCACCCTGACGATCGCTCTCTACAAAATCCTTGTTAATTAGTCAACTCTTTCGACTTCTTCGATCGAGACAATCCACACCCAACCATTTATTAATTCACCCTTTTCGAATAATGCCCTCATAACATACGACCCTTTCGTACCGTAGATGATCCGATGCCATTATTAATTGCATCATATTATAGGATGCACGTACTTTCTAAGTGACTTTGGCTAAATCCGCCATTATCTTTTTGGTTAAGGAAAGTAGTAGTAGGTGAGAAAATCTTAATTACAAAAAATTGCAATTGCATGACCCAACGCAAGCGTGGAACGTACACAACCGAGCAGCTTTTCGACATTCCTCGAGGTCAAGTCATGAGTTTTGCGTTTCCTAGGTTATGATTTCGATTCCTCCATATATTATAAACTATGGTGGTTACATAAATTTAATAAAACCATATAATATAAGAATAAACATAAGCGTTTCTGGTGCGCCAAGATCATTATCCTGATCATTAGTTGACAAGTCGCGTGTGCAATGACGACGGGTGATATTGCGTGTAATGGTTTCGTGAATATTCTCTATCCAGTCGCTACAAGATTCATCAAATCAAGCCTCGTAAATTCAAGTCACGAAAAATAAAGCTGCTAACAGAATTTTGGCACATCAGCTCTTGTGAACTCATTTCGAATTATATTTCAAATTATCATTTTTTTCTACCCGGAGAATCATAAATTCGTTTTGCCTCGTATTTATCATCTATCTCATTTACACAGAGCGTAATTATTTGTGCAGCGCAAAAGCCAGAAAAAGAGAGAAAGGGTTAATATTAGACTATTTAAATATTAAATTACGCATTCATCTAATAATTTATACAAATTTTTTCGAACCCATTATTTACATCATTTAGACACCTAATACGCATCCTTTATTATATATTTCCACGCTCGGTCCTCTTAAAGCCGGGATTCGATTGCACATTCCCTTGCGGTTTATCATTTTCTAATATTTTCCGTCGTTCGTTTTTCGCATTTATCGCTTCGACATCAAGAAAGGATCAATAATAGCCTCTTTTAGCAAGTCGACCGTCATTTCACGTCAACAGGGAACGAGACACGTGGGTAGAGCCGTGACGGCGGGAAAAGAGGGGACGGCGCCGTGACACTAGCAGCTTTGTCGGCAGACGACGACAGGAGAACGTCACACGTGCGAGAAGGAAAAAAAACAAAAAAAGCGAAACCATGTAGGAAGTATCGAAGCTACGCCATCATTGTTGGCGAGCTCAATAGAGAGAGGAAATGAAGAAGAATTTCGAAGCCTCGTTTGGTACTGGCCACTCGGGACCACACGTGGCATCTGGGGGGGGGCGGGGGGATTTTAGGTAGCAGATGAAATAATATTTTAATTAACTGCCCCGTCAATTTCTACCACCCCGTAATTATTAATTGTCCAAAGTTCGAATTGACCCGATAACGAAAGTTGAGGGCATGGGTTGCCACAGTTAGATTGCAATTATTTTGCACGGAGACTTCATACTTGATTGATGTTACATCCTTATGATCTATTTCCCTTTTTTTATTGTCTGAAGTAAAAAATTATCTAACCAATCACAAACTATATATAGGAATATCAGTTCAATTATGAGACATTTTAATTTTGTTAATTTATTTCTAAATATTTGTGCTAGATACTGATGGAGTCATTCTGATCAATTTTTGCCGGAAAACACTGACGTGACAGTCTAACCATCGCCGACCTTACGTGCCACACTGTCACGTCATCGATTTGCAGTAAAAATTGGCCAGAATGACTATATTTGAATAGAAAAGCGGGGTCTGATAAGTATATGAAAATATATGACTATTGAATGGGTTCTCATGAAAACTTGAGAAATGGAAATGAATCGACCGTATTCTTCTTTCGTGTAGGTTTTGTAATTGTTCAGGAACCATTAGTGGAGGAATCGATGGTCATAGTTTGACAAATCAATTGCCACCTAAATAACCGATTTAATAAGTTGATCGACCATTTACAGAGTTAGTTTTAAAGATAAAACAATATTTCGTATTGTCTTAAGATAACATTATGCATTTTCATATGAATAAGCTAGTCATATGTACGATAAAAGACAAATCAAGCTATAAATCCTCTTCGTTTTTTCCTTTGCTAATCAAAATCCTTAATATATTTTTTTGGTAACTTAATAGCTAAATCCTCAAATCAACTTGCTGAATTCCTCATATACTTTTGCTATGGTATTGGAATTAAAAAAAAATAAAAATAAAAACATAGAAGAAAATGCGGAAACAAGGGCTGCGTAGTAAAAAGAGACAGCGGCGCCCACCGTGGGGCTCGAACCCACGACCACAAGGTTAAGAGCCTTGCGCTCTACCGACTGAGCTAGACGGGCTTGTTGTGATACTCTGCATCACTAAATAAACTTATTAAATAAAATTATCACATGCGCTTTTCGCATGTCTAATCTAATTCTAGCACAATCTCGGCCCAAAAGAAGGGAAAATCACGGACTTTGCACTTTGAACTTGCTATGACGTATCTTTTTACGTTAAAGAAAGATAAATACTAGAGCCTGAATTACAATGGGTACTTGGATATTACTATCGGTAACTGAACACGGCGCCTCGGGATGGGAATTTAGCCTCCCCAAAAGAAAAAAAGCGAGAATCGCCCATCGATCGCGAATTCGAGAAAGGAAGGATTCCCCGATGATCGCGGCCATTGCTTTATTTCGTGGCCTTCTCTCTTGGTGGCTAGGCGAACTTCATGTGGCTCGGCCGCGAAACATTAAAGGCCAAAACGGCTGGCTGCAGACCCATTTTGGGAGATGGAAAACAAGAGAGAAAAGAGGACCGACATTCCTTCCTGAGCGGCGTTGATCTCATGAGCCAAATGGCCCCTGAAAAAGGTAAGTTCGAGTTCGAGTTCGAGCCGTGCGCAGGGACGGAGTCATCTTCCACGTGAGTTCATAGCCCTGTTTTAGCAAAATGGGCCTGGTATGGAGTCGGTCTGCTCTGGCCTGGCCTGGCCCTATATAGAAGCTCCGTTTTGGGAAATCTGCTGACGAGAGGTTAGACCCCATTGGGAAATACGACGACGTGGACACCCGCACACGCTCCCTCCTGTTTCTGACGCAATCCTATCATCATCCTCATCCTCTTCTTCTCCACCGTGAAAATTATCAGCCGCGTTCCCAATTTCTTTAACCCGCACTGCTGTCGGAATCTTCGTTTGCAACGTTTGAATTTCGTCGCCGGAATTTGAGACCTCGGACTAGTTTGTTGAAATGCAGACGGAAAAAGTCGAGGAGCTAAAAGTTTCGGTGTATAGAAAGTATTAAAATTTATCGGTACAATTAAGTTTTAAAACTTTCAGAAAGTGCAATCAAGTCCAGAAACCCGTCGAATTCGTGTAATCTAGTACTTCCGCTGACTCCGTCCAACTTGGCTAACGGAAATTCCTAACGTCGTTTCTTTCTTTTATTAATTGATTTCTCTCTCATATACAGTACTACTGACGTGACTAAGATAAGAAGGATTAGGCTAAAATGATATCGTTTAAATTGGGCGAGGATCGCCACCCAACTCCCGCTAGCCGACCCTCGTCCCACTATCGCCGGCCCATTTCGGCGATAGTGGGGCGGCGTCATAGTTGCCTGGCCCTAGCTGTCTTCCTTTTCTTCTTTTTCTAATTTACTCGATCTTTTAATATAATTTAAGTGATATTTAGATTAAAAAATCAGATTACGGATCGAAATGACGTTTTTTTAGCCCTATCTTTCTTGTTTTAGCAACGTGAAAATCACAAGCTAGACGGATTTAATCTTAAGAATTTGATTGCATTAATTTGATGAGTTATAATTTTTTTGAAAATTTTAAAACTAAATTTGCACTTTCGTAAGAAACATTGACATCTCCTCGTTCTACTCATCCAGACGGCGTGAGCTTCGATTTTCAGTTACGGATATTACCGCCCGAAAAACACACAAAATTCCGTTACGGGAAAAAAAAATTTAAAAAAAAAAATTGACGGGAAAAAAAAAGGGGAACACGCGGTTCGAGTGATCTGTGGCTCGCAGTTCCGTCTCCGCCTGAGGATTCCGTTTCCCACCCACATTCCTCACCGCTTATAAATTCGCCGGATTCCTTCCGGCCCACCGTCGAAACCGGCCGACTGTCTCGTCGTCTCTCTCTCTGCGCGCGCGCGTCCGTCCGTCCGTCCATCCATGGCAAGCGCTGTCTGCGGCGGCTGCTACTTGGCGAGCGGCGTGCTCGGGCCGAGCCAGCTCAGGAGCTCCCGGCGGTTGCTGCCGAAATCCGGCGGGACGGGCTTCGGGCGCCGACTCCTCGCGCCGAGAGTGAGAGCCGCCTCCTCCTCATCCTCCTCCTCCTCCTCGGCCTCCGTCGAAACCAAGCCGCCGCCGCCGCCCCCCCCGTCCCCGCCAACGCCGCCGCCGCCGCCGGTACGTGTTTGTGATTGTGTCGGGGGCTTTACTTTTTACTCGAGGAAAGGAGTTGTTGCGACTGAACCGTGAACCTATAACGGGTGGGGCGACCGAGTAGTGAAGCGCTCTTGGGTCGGATGGCAAGCAAATGCCCTCTGAACTTTGAATTGTGTTACTGTCCTGATAGAAGAGAACAGTGGTTTCGGCGTCCTTCGCGCTTTTGTTTCTAGTCAATGAACTGCGTACAGGGGGGCGGTTGACTTTTGTCGATGACATGTTTGTTCAAAGTTCGTGACGTGGGTTGGCTCGCCCGGTTCCGTTTCTTTCTTTTTTGTTATTTTTTTTTTTCAGGTTTGTTCCTTTTGTCTTGCCTCCTGTTGATTGAAAAGCCCAACTTCGTTTTGTGTAGGAATCCACTGTGGATAGGGAGAAACTCAGCGGTAACCAGAATGTACTAGCTTGTCCCATATGTTACCGGCCGCTAACGTTCCCTGGCGATCTGGTGTTATCTGTGTAAGTTGCGCGGATTTTGTGATACGGTTCGCCCCGTAAATGTCTTTTCTGCTGTTTTCATGCCATCGTGGTTCTGCTGCAGGGATTCTGCTTCCGAGTCTACTTTGCAGTGCGGCACCTGTCAGAAGACCTATGTGGGCAATGAAACGCATTTTGATCTTACGGCGGCCTGTGGAACCAAGGAATATGGCGAATCCATGGCCCTTTCTACCGAGCTTTTCAGGTGCGAGAAGTTATTTATTGGAGTCAGACTGATTCGTTGGGTAAAAATTGACGATGTTGCCTCCAGTGGCATTGTCTGGGTGGGTTTTTCATAAGTCACGGTCGTTCAGGCGATGTGTCACTGATCGAATTTTGCATCAGGAGTCCATTGGTATCGTATCTCTATGAGAGGGGATGGCGTCAAAATTTTGTTTGGGGGGGTTTTCCAGGTCCAGAGAAAGAGGTTAGTTCGACTCTTTTCTTTTTTACTCTTATTGCTTCGTGTATGCTTGTCAATGCCATTCGATACAGAACTGGTTTGTGTGTTGCTATTATTCGAAAGATCGTTTTAACATGTGGTGGTGTACAATAATTTCGAGGGTTCCAGTTTATAAGCAATCGGTCATCTAAATGCCCTCAGTTAGGGAGATGATGGATGCCCTGCAAGACTGTTCTATTGCAAGGAGTCGCCATCTTGGAAATGGTTTTCTTAGAAAAAAAAGTGGTTACCGACCAGTAAAATTGCTAAAAAGATCCTATGCCATCAAACAGATGCACGTTTGACTCGTTGTCGTTGAACTTAGGCTGGAGCTAGGTATCTAATGCATGTTGTACTCCTCTCTGATCCCTTCGTGTGGAGCTACTGACCCTGAGATTTTGGCTGCAGTTCGAATTGACTAAGGGATTCCTCAAGCCAGTATTGGGAGGAAACATCATTGATGCAAGTTGCGGGAGCGGTCTGTTTTCAAGACTATTTGCCAAGAGTGGACTGTTCTCGCTTGTTATTGCTCTGGACTACTCCGAAAATATGTTGAAGCAGTGTTACGAGTTCATTCAGGGGGAGGAGAATTTTCCAAAAGAGTGAGGAGACTGACTCTTACTCAACTCAAATGATGATTGCAGCTTGTATATTTTGTCGCTTATTGATAGGAAATTTCTTCTAGATTGTTATTGTCTTGATACATTATGCTAGGCGAGTCACTTTTGACAAAGCTCTCTGCTTGTAGGAACTTGGCATTGGTCAGAGCTGACATCTCTAGACTTCCTTTTGCTTCAAGTTCTATTGATGCTGTGCATGCTGGTGCTGCTTTACATTGTTGGCCTTCACCATCAACAGCAGTGAGTACTTTGTTTCTTTACGGTTTCTGTTCCCCACGGGTTGTCTAGATCAATATAGACAGGGATTATTCAACACTTGTCTTGTTCTGCATGCTTAGTTCCAAAATGTGTAATAGTGAGGACATGGCTCCAGTTTTTTATACTTGGTAAAAATGAATGTTTGCTGCGCACAACAAGTAGAACTTTTTAGGAGTAAATCTTTATTCGATGTATGCACTTCATTAATCCTACCTTAGGAAGCATCGCTTGGTTTTAAATCTCTTAGTTCTTTGTCATAGGCTCACATTTCATTATGTCGTGGTGCTTTCTCAGGTCGCTGAAATCAGTCGAGTTTTACGGCCAGGTGGAGTTTTTGTCGCGACTACATACTTGCTTGATGGTCCTTTTGCATTATTTCCTCTTCTGAGGCCTTTACGCCAGGTACTTGGTTATGACTCGAGTCCTGTCCATCTATTCAGCTCTACATCTCTCCAAAGTGCTTGTTTTCACTTCTGGTATGTACAGTTGAACAATATCTGTCGGAGCAGAAGGCTGGGTTTTGTTCCATCAATTTCTCACACAACAAAAGAATTATTTTCCCAACATTTTGATCTCTAGAATGGGACACGCATGCTTCATTTGTCTTGGGTAATACAACTGCATTTGTCGAGCCCATGCCTGATCATCCTTTTTGTTTCTCATTGTAGAATATAACTCAAATATCTGGCAGCCACATCTTCCTATCTGAAGGCGAACTAGAAGATCTTTGCAGAACCTGTGGGCTAATCGGCGTTAAATTTGTGAGGAATGAGCGATTCGTGATGATCTCGGCTTCGAAACCCAGCTAAGGTTCCAGATGCAGGTTCATCAATTACTTCGAATAATGGAGCAAACACAATAGTCAAGTAGTTACAGGCACCTCTCTTAATCTCTTATATTGTTGGCAGAGGAAGTTTAGGCAGATGAAGATGCGTATACACAACTTCTTATCGTTTAAAGCACAGGATGATATAATAAAGGCTGCCCTCTTAATTTATTGATTTGTAAATACCACCCATTCGACGGTGAATGAATGAGTTGAATGACAGGTTCATTCCTCCTGCAATGTGTCTTTGCTTTGGGGGTCTCAGACTGAGTCATTTTCATCACTCGTGAGATTGGATTTTTCGCTTTTTGTGCTTCTTGCGAAACACATGTTAGAGGTAAAATGCAGTTTATGCTGTTTTCAAATAATGACAAGTTTCACAATAACTCGAATCAGGGGAAAAATCGGGAATTCAAATTATGCAACACATTATCTTAGGGGTGACTCATGTGTAAATGTCAGGGTTGTGAAGTAAACCTTCTTATCGTCCTTGCAACCAAAGCCTCACTTGGAAAATCAGCCACATAGAGAGCTTGCTGAAATCGGTCTTCACCAATTGTCCTCCCTATGAGTTTGTCTTGAACCATTACCTTTGAATGGGAAAAAATGATATTGCAATCCAACTCTTTAGTAAGTTTACTGACCGAAAACTGATTTGAAGAAAAAGCCAGCACAAATAACACATCACAAGCAGCTGCAAATAAATTAATGGTGCCATGTCCTTCAATCGAAACCTCAGTTCCATTGGCCACAGTAATGGGACCATGAGAACCCTCAGAAATGACACAAAAATCAAATAATCCAGGTACTGCACATATGATTATTAGCGCCCGAATTAACAATAAAAGAATTTTTGGGAGACAAATTCATAAAAGCTAGGGAATTACTAGATTGAGCCAGATAGCTAGAATCCGAGACGAAAGGTGTTATGCCATCGGATGGGATAAGATGCTGCAATTAAGAGCAAATTTACTCAAGGAGGCTTTAAAGTCAAATGTTAAGTCTTGAGTTTGAGCTGCAACCTTAGCATTCCCCCCTTTATCCTTATTAGGGTGAAGGTGAAGATACAATTCCTACCAACGATCTTAAGCTAGAACCAAAGCGATCCCCATCAGAACGAGTAGTATGGCCAGAACTCTCAATCGAATCTCTCCCCTTTCTTGGAATTAGGAGCCATCATACGCGATGAGTTTCCTCCCTTTGAACAATAGCACAAACAATGGCTAAATTGGGAAGAGTAGAACTAATTAGGATTTGCCTCTTAAGGTCTTCATATTCAGGCCTAAGATTGGCCACAAGTTGGAAAATCTTGTTTTGCTCTTCATGTCGAGCATTAATCTCAACAATTTGGGCAGGTGATCGATACTGTCGCAGTTTATCCCACTTCCTTTTTAGATTACCAAGATGTTCAATGAATGTTTGATTAGGTGTTTGCTCACTGAGCAAGCTCCTATTGCAACTCAAAGACACGAGATGCATTATCAACATTGCCATACATATCTTTCAAAGATTTCCACAGGGACTTGGGAGTCTTTGAATAAGCAAATATCTCATAGATTTGAGATTCCATAGAATTATGACCACAATATCATTCCCTGCCATTCGGGGAATTTTACATGTGTCGATGCTGGTGTTGTGATAAGACCATTCACATAATCCAATTTTGATCTACCCAAGCTATAGAGACAGCTCTGGACTCTGGACTAAGGCAAATAACTATGCAATTTAACATAATAGTTGAAGTTTATTAGATATCTCAGAAATAGATTTATTGTTATCAGCCATGGTGCTGGACAGAAAAAGAGCACAAAGTTCAGCAAACTTATCTGGACCAATTGAGTCAATGAAAGAGTAGGTGTGGCGAAGATGTCGTAGGTACCGACCGGATACAATCAAACTAGAGGACATCCAAGTGCTGCCACAAAGACACAACACCTCTAAATGCTGCCACGTCTACTCAAAGGATACAAAGGTTGCACTTTGACCTGTTGCCTCGCTAGTGCAGTTTCCCGAAGAGCAAAAACAGTCAAGCACTATGTTGATTAAAAAATCCCATAGAGACAAGCATCCATGATCACCCTCTGCACAAACCAAAAACCACCGCAAAAATAGATCCACAAATTGCGGAACCGTTGTACGCTATAGAAATCACCAAGAGGGATTGGTCCGAAGAATAAGATTGCAGGAATAATTCACGACGGACAGCTGACAGTGCACTATTGCGACAACAATGAAGAACTCGGATTCTCTATCACCAACGGACAAGCAGAAGCATTGACAATTGAGCTGACCTTAGGATTGTGTTTCGCTCTGATATCATATTTTAACGATGATCATGTATAAAAGAGAGACAAAAGAAGAGAAGAGGGACCCACCCATCGGTGGCCGCGTTGGTTTGCGCTCAGTTCCTTTCACGAGAGGTCCTAGGTTCAAACTCGCCCATCGGTGATTTAAGTGGGGGGTCGTGGCGGTGGGATGCTACGCTAGCTCCCCTCGAGGACTAATCGGGCATCACCGCTGGTTTGAGCCCTAGCTCGCCGGCTGCGTGGACACCTCGATTATCAAAAAAAAAAAAAAGAAGAGAAGAGGGATACTCAATGGTTAATGTGATTCAGACAACTAATAGAATAATTTGCTTACCTAAGGGTGAGCATGATCTGGATTGGGCCGGTCCTGCACCTAACCCTAGGACCAACCCGCATAGTATTGGTCCTCAATTTTTGGGATTGAGAACCGACCATGTTGAGCCTAAGACTGAGGATCGGACCGACCATATGGGTTTGGTCCGGTTCCAAAGTCAACCCAGGGTCAATCGATTATTTTTTTATTTCATTTTTTGTATTCATTGAGAGTGTAGACATATTTTTCAATTTTCATTTTCATCAACAATGTGACATTGAGCAACCAAACTATAAACATCGGTACATATAAAACATAACCTAAGATAAGATAACAACAAAAATCTCCATTTGTTAGAAGCAACAAACCACAAAAATGAACACGTGAAAGCGAGACCGAGGCAAGCGAACAGAGTGAGGCGAGTGGCGAGCAAGGTGAGCGAACAAAGCTGAGAGCGCGGTGAGCAACGTGAGGTAAGGAATAGGGTTTCCCAGGCAAGCGGCAAGTGAACAAAGCGAGGCGACAGGCGAGGAAGAGGAGGGTTTCTATTGTTTTTGGTCAAATGAGGGCTGGGTTAATCAGATAAGTGGGTTTCTTTTAACTTAAAAAAGTGGGTTTTTAATTTCTAATTTACAATTCTACACGACAGAACCACATAAGAAACAAAAATAAAAGAGGCACGATTGTTAGGGTAGGGTTTAAAGTAAACAAAAATATATTATATATTATATAACATATATAGGGTTGGTCCGGGTAGTCTCAGGACCGAGGACCAACCCGCATAATAGAGGATCCAAGGGTCCTAGGACCAAGGACCGACCCAATCATCTTGGAAACCGGATTAGGACCAGTCGGGTTGGGCCGGTCCAGGGTTGACCTTGGACAGATCCTCACTCCTAACATCCACGATAATAAATCCCCAATTAATCTTGTTACCTTTGAGGGATGATTCATTATATTTAACAGACAGCAATATAATGAGTTACAGTTATTGATTCGGTAATTACGATTACCGCACGACCCAGTCAGATCTCTTACTATATTGAGATTATGACAATCCGGTATCCTTATCGTGCCGACAATAGCCCTGTTTAGCAAATTAGTTTTCTAGCCTTTAGCTGCCGATTTGATTATGCTTTTTGGGATCTTGTGAAATTACAGAAAAAGTTGAGGACCTGAACTTCATTTTGCATTTCTTCCTTCTTATTTTTTTTTCGGTTTTCTCGGAATTCGGCATCTGCACTCGTTCCGTTCATTCAGACCGTTATACCGTCAAAAAGAAAAACGCAAAATTCAGTTAAAAAAAAACCAGCCGGAGGATTCCGTACGGAGCCACCTTCGCTGCCTATAAATTCGCGCATTCCTTCCACCACCGTCGGAGCCGGTCATTTGTATCTCTCTGCGTGCGTGTCTGTGTCTGTCCGAGAGAGAGAGAGAGAGAGAGAGAGAGAGAGAGAGAGAGAGAGAGAGAGAGAGAGAGAGAGAGAGAGCTTCCATGGCGAATGTCATTTGCCGCCGCAACTTGGCGAGGGTGTTCGGGCCGAGCCAACTCGGGAGCTCGAGGCGGCTCCTGCCGATATCCGGTAAGACGAGCTTCGGACGCCGAGTTCTTGCACCAGAAGTGAGAGCAGCCTCCTCCTCCTCGGCCTTCGTCGAGACTAAGCCGCCGTCGCCGACGCCGCCCCCGCCGGCGGTACGTGTTTTGTGATTGTAGTAGGCACGGACGTGTTTTTCGATTGTGTCGCGGACTTTTACTTTTACTCCGAGGGAAGGAGTTGGGGACTGAACTAATGAACCTAAACGGGTGACTGAGCAGTGAAGCGCTCTTGGTCCGGGATGGCAATGCCCACCCAAGTTGGAGTCTTGTTCGATGAACTCGAGCTTTCCGTTTTTCCTGTTTTGTTCTTTTCTTTTCTTCAGGTTTGTTCCTTTTGTCTTGCCTCCTGTCGATTGAAAAACCGAACTTCATTTTGTGCAGGCATCTACGGTGGATAAGGAGAAACTCAGCAGTAACCAGAATGTACTAGCTTGTCCCGTATGTTATAAGCCGCTAACGTTCACTGGCGATCTGGTGTTATCTGTGGGAGTTGCGCGGATTTGTAAGATGGTTCGCCCCATGAATGTCTTTTTCGCTGTTTTCATCCCATCGTGCTTCTGCTGCAGGGATTCCGCGTCTGGGTCTGCTCTGCAGTGTGGCACCTGTAAGAAGACCTGTGTGGGCAACGAAACGCATTTTGATCTTACGACGGCCGGTGTAATTAAGGGATGTGGCGAACCCATGCCCTTCGCTACCGAGCTTTTCAGGTGCGAGAAGTCATTTATTGGAGTCTGACTGATTTGTTGGGTAAAAATGATCAGGTTCCCTCCAGTGGCATTGTCTGGTTGGATTTGCTATAAATAATGGTCGTTCGGGTCATGTGTCGCTGATCGAATTTTGCATCAGGACTCCGTTGGTATCATATCTCTACGAGAGGGGATGGCGTCAAAATCTTGCAAGTTTGGCTGGTTTTCCAGGTCCAGAGAAAGAGGTTAGTTCGATTCTTTTCTTTATTACTCCTATTTCTTCGTGTATGCTTGTCACTGCCATTTGTTACAGAGCTGGTTTGTGTGTTGCTGTCATTCGAAAGATTGTTTTAATATGTGGTGGTGTCAATTATTTCGAGGGGTTTCAGTTTGGAAGCAATCGGTCATCTAGATGCCCTCAGTTTGGTATACGATGTATGGCTTGCAAGACTTGTTATATTGCAAGGAGTGGCCATCCTGGAAATGGTTTTCTTAGAAAACAGGGGTTAAGATCCTATGCCATCGAACAGATGCACATTTGACTCGATGTCATTGAACTTAGGCTGGAGCTAGGGATCTAATGCGTGCGGTACTCCTCTCTGATCCCTTCGTGTGGAGCTACTGACCATGAGATTTTTGGCTGCAGTTCGAATTGACTATGGGATTCCTCAAACCAGTATTGGGAGGAAACGTTGTTGATGCAAGTTGCGGGAGCGGTCTGTTTTCGAGGCTATTTGCCGAGAGTGGATTCTTCTCTGTCGTTGTTGCTCTGGACTACTCTGATAATATGTTGAAGCAGTGTTACGAGTTCATTCGGGGGGAAGAGAATTTTCCGAAAGAGTGAGGAGACCGACTCTTACTCCTGCTCAAATGATGATCGAAGCTTGCATTTTTTGTTGCTTTAATGTTAGGAATTTCTCTTAGAATGTCGTTGTCTCGATAAATTATGCTAGGCAAGTCGGTTCTTACCAAGTTTTCTACTTGTAGGAATTTTGCATTGGTCAGAGCTGACATCTCCAGACTTCCTTTTGCTTCAAGTTCTATTGATGCTGAGCATGCTGGTGCTGCTATACATTGTTGGCCTTCACCATCAACAGCTGTGAGTGTTTTGGTTCTTCACGGTTTCTGTTCCCCATGAGTTATCTAGATCAATATAAAGGGGGATTATATAACATTGGTCTTGTTCGGCATGCTTAATTCCAAACTTTGCGTAAAATCGTCAAAAGAACATGGCTCCAGTTTTTTCAAACTTGGTAAAAATTAATGTTTGCTGCGCACATAAGTTGAACCGTTATTCACTATATGCACTTCATTAATCCTACCTTAGGAAGCATCACTTGGTTTAAAATCTCCTAGTTCTTTGTCATATGCTCACAATTCATTGCGTCGTGGTGCTTTCTCAGGTTGCTGAAATCAGTCGAGTTTTACGGCCAGGTGGAGTTTTTGTCGCGACTACGGCCTTGCTTGATGGTCCTTTCGCATTATTTCCTCCTCTTCTGAGGACTTATCGCTAGGTACTTGGGTTTTGGCGCAGCTCCTATCCCTCTATTAGGGGTGAACATGGTTTCAGGTTCTACCCTGGAACCTGAGAACCTGACCAATAGGAATTTGTAGGTTCCAGATTCTAAGATATGTAGGGTAGGTTCTAGGTTCCAAAAATTGGGAAACCTGTTTGAACAGGTAAGTTCCAGGTTCTAAGTAGATAGACCCTAGAATCTGCCTTCTCGTGATCTTGCGGTGTTTCGTGGCATTAGATGATGAGTGTATAATTTGGAACAACTAGTTTGAGCTTTTCATTTTATGATTTGTTAATATTTCATATTCTTCGTGTATCTAAATATAAGTTGTGGTTAGTGGATTATAGCAGTAAGTAGTAGTTATTAAAGGAGATGATTCACTGCAATTGTTCATTTTAATAATACATGTGGAACCTGAGTAAACTCTAGAACTGACCCTCGAACCTGTGATAAGGTAAGTTTCAAGTTCCAAAAAATGAGGAACCTATTATCATGGGTGGAACCTATACAGAACATGAAACTGCTCACCTCTAGTATCGATTCACGCAATGACTTCTTATTTTAGTTATATTTATTTGAACCGTAATACCAGGAAAACTAGGCTTTTGTATTCTTTTTTATGAATGACAAGCTTGTTTAGTATTGTTGCATTCATTTTTGTTTTGTTTAACTAAAAATGCAATAAAAAAGAGGAACCTGTTAGACCCTGAAACCTACCCTGGAATCTGTGACAAGGTAGGTTCCAGGTTCTAGGTTTGGACGGATAGATTTTAGGTTCCAAAAAATGGGAAACCTGTACCCGAAGGTAGGTTTCAAGTTCCAAGTGGAATCTGTAAAAAACTTGGAACTGCTCACTCTTACCCTCTATTCAGCTCTACATCTCAAAACTACATGTTTTCTCTTTTGGTATGTACAGTTCAACAATATTTGTCAGGAGCAGAAGGCTAGGTTTGTTTCATCAATTTCTCACAAAACAAAAGAACCAAGTTCTCAACATTTTGATCTATAGAATGGGGCACGCATGCTTCCTTTGTCTTGGGGAATAACAATGGCATTTATCGAGCCGATTCTTAATCATCATTTTTTTCTCGCATTGCAGTTATCTGAAATAACTGGCGGCCACCTATTCCTATCTGAAGGCGAACTAGAAGATCTTTGCAGAACCTGCGGGCTGATCGACGTTAAATTTGTGAGGAATGAGCGATTCGTGATGATCTCGGCTTCCAAACCCAGCTGAGGTTCCAGATGCCGGTTCATCGATTACTTCAAATAACGGAGCAAACACAATACTCAATCTCCCGTATTGTTGGCGAGGGAGTTCAGGCAGATGAAGATGCGTATATACAACGACTTATTGTACAAAGCACAGGATGATTGAATAAAGGCTGCCCTCTTAAATTGTTGATTTGCAAATACCACCCATTCGACGGTTGATGAATGAGTTGAAAGACAGGTTCATTGCTCCTGCAGTGTCTTTGCTTTTGGGGTCTCAAACTATACTCCTGAGATTGGATTTTTCACTTTTGTAGTGAAATAACTTTTCGTCGTCCCGTCGGGGTCGATGCTATACAAATCAGGAACCTGAAATTGTCAAAGAACAACGGAACAATTCTTTCCCTATAAACGATGATATACATGTCTATCGAGCAAAATCCGCTGTGTCCACTTAGCTTCTGTTGCATTATCTCCCCGTTAAGACGAGGATGCAAAGCTACTATAGACCACAGCTTGACCTCTGCAAACTCATAAATGTAGCTCCTCTAATCTCTACATCAACCTCTCCCTCTGTACAATACAAAAACTCTTGCAAGGTCTCTGCTTGTCGATTGTAGTTACATAAGTTTTATACGAGTATACCTATAAAAAACCTCCCCTCTCCTCCATGAAGTGCTCCATCGAAGATTTTCAATTTCAAAAATGATGCCAGCTTCAGCTAGCTGTGTCGTGTGACTACTCACCCAGATTAGATAATGTCAATTGACGGTAAAGCAACATCTTTTCATCAGCATCCTCAATATCGGTAGAATCCTCCCCCTCGTAGTGAACATCAATGACACTCCTCTCCCTACCATAAATATCTGATCCGTCAACCAGATCACCAGTACCTACTCCATCGGGGGACATATCGTCCAAGTTTAATTGTTGCATCTCTGATTCAATTAGAGCCTCCATCCGAGCCCGCTCTCTATCTCGTGGGTACGTGCAGTAGAGGAACGAGTAGATGAGACAGCAGAGGAACATGGGAACGCCTACAGCTGTGTACAGTGCCTTGGCCAGCGAGGCTGCATTCTCTCTATCAGTCTCAATCTCCTGTGGTGCACTAGATCCTCTGGGAAGTTCTTTGTAACCATACACATTCTGGGCTAGTAATCCAACTATTGGAGGAGCAAATGATGATAGTATAGACTCGAAGGACCGGTCCAGGGCATAGACACTTGTTCGGGATTTTTCAGGAACTATTTCTGCAAAAATAGGACTGCAATGCATAGACAGGAGTCAGTATTGATTTTGCAATCTTCAGGAAGTAACGTAAAAATTAAATACGCACTGCTTATCTTTCAAAATTTCTGGAAATTATATATTCATAATCCTGTTTCCATGTATGATAATAAAGCATTGTCAAAATTCTTTCAGACTTTTACATAAACTGAAAAGCAAGAGTTTCCAAATTTCAAGCAAATAAAACTAAAACAAACTTTTAATGCTGCCCAGTCACCACTGTTCCTTTTAATTGTAAGAGCACTGCCTGCACCCTATAATGTTATCTCATCTCAAAAGACAAATCAATTAAAATCCATGCTTTAAGCATCACTCAAGAAATTCAGACATGGAGTGAATAACCTACTGCATTTATATAATACCTCTATATATATTCGATCAAATACTTAAGGCAGCTGGGTGCTCAGTAACTCGGGTGAAAGAAAGAAGAGGACTGATTTGGAACTTAACTTGTTTGTTGCTGGAGCATTCCATGATATGCAGAAGCCCACAATGAACAAAACTAAGCCATGGACAAACGCAGTGGATGAATCATTTGGAAGAGCCAGCAAAAGTATTGCTGCAAGTGGGACAGCTGATGCTGAGCTTATCTGTGCTAAAATTATTCTTCCAGAGTTTGGTAGACGTCTGGAAAGAAAATCTCCCATTTTACCTCCAAAAAGTCCCCCAAGGGAACTAGCAATCACAAAAAGTGCTATGAGAAATGCAGTTTTATTATGGGAGAACCCAACAAGCTCCAACCACATTGTTGCAAATGATAAAGCTGACCAGGGGAATAAGCCCGTTACACCTTGTGCAACAATTATTTGGAACGATGGAATCTTTATCACTGATTTTGCTTCTTGAACCAAGTCCTTCACTTCTGAGCAAAATGATTTTTTTGAAGTTTGCCCAGTAACCTTGGCACGGCCATCAGCAAAATGTGGATCTCTGGCAAAGAGGCGGACTAGAATTCCAACTAAGATGCTTATTAGTCCAACCAAATGGAAGGAAATTCTCCACCCAGGGATCCCCATGAATGTCGTGGGAGCTATCAACACAGAAAATAGCCCACCTACTAAGGCACCGAGATTGCCAGTCAGTTGTAGCCATCCAAAAGCCATACCCCGGTTGTTGTCGTCCGTTGAATCAGCCACAAGGGACTGGATTGCAGGTGCTACTATGGCAAGCCCAATGCCATTCAAAGCTCTTGATACTGCCACCTGAGCAATTGCTGAGTATAATTAATCAAGTCAGCTGATTCATGAACATATACGGTGCTTTCCTTCAATCGAACGGAAGTTTCGTGTGACTTCAAACATCTTTTCATAGTCTATGAAGCTACGTCTTTTAAATATAAAAACCTTCCATCGGTAAGAATCAAAACAGGAATTTCATGAACAGGGGGAGCATGGGTATCAACAGGTAACGGTATAAAACATCTTTGCCAGAAGAGTATCTACAAGATCTATAATAGCCGGAACACAAACTACAGCGCCTATGGTATCAAACATTGAGAATATGAAATTCCATATGGGCAGAAACAGTTTAAAAAAAAAACCAGTCCCCACACTCGCAAAATCTTGAAGTTTTCTTCCTCCTTTCATATTCGGAAGATTATTGCATGATAGGTAAACAAACTTTCATTGTTTTGAGGAAGTTTGTGTCCTTTCCAAGTCCATAACTCCTCAGGTCGGGACCATATTCTTTCTCACCAGATCTCCCCTTTGTGAAGGAGTACCAACAGATATACAGCAAGCTCCAAAGCTCTCAGATATGAACACTGCTATAGACGGTCCAAACCCACATTAGCCCTCAATTTTGGAGGATATAGTTACTCAATACGAAT